ACCTGCATGTTTCATCCGACCTCTGCAGCTCATCCAGAATGCAGCGGCTCGTCTGGTCTTCAACCTTCCTAAATTCTCCCACACCACTCCGCTCCTCCGCTCCCTTCACTGGCTTCCGGTAACTGCTAGAATCCACTTCAAGACACTGGTACTTGCTTACCATGCTGCGAATGGATCTGGCCCTTCCTACATCCAGGACATGGTTAAACCGTACACCCCAGCGCGTGCACTACGCTCTGCATCAGCCAAACGACTCGTTGCGCCCTCGCTGCGAGGGGGACCCAAGTTCCCATCGGCGAAAACACGTGGGTTTGCTGTCCTGGCTCCAAGATGGTGGAATGAGCTCCCCATTGACATCAGGACGGCAGATAGCTTGCATATCTTCCGGCGCAAACTGAAAACTCATCTCTTTCGACTCCACTTCGAGCGTTAGAACTATTAACGAAGCACTTTTATACTAATAAAGGGCTGGCTTACCTAAAGCCAGTTGAGTAGCACTTGAAATGTTTGGCTCTATGAAACCTGATGTACTTATATGATTCTGTTTTCTTCAAGGTTGTGTCTTCCTGGTCGAATGTACTTATTGTAAGTCGCTTTGGATAAAAGCGTCAGCTAAATGCAATGTAATGTAATGTAATGAATGAGCTCCCCATTGACATCAGGACAGCAGAAAGCCTGCACATCTTCCGGCGCAGACTGAAAACTCATCTCTTTCGACTCCACTTCGAGCGATAGAATTACTAACAAAGAACTGCTAACAGAGCACTTATAAAGGACTGGCTTATCTATAGGCAGTTGAGTAGCACTTGAAATGTTTGGCTCTATGAAACCTGATGTACTTATATGATTCTGTTTTCTTCAAGGTTGTGTCTTGTCCTGGTCGAATGTACTTATTGTAAGTCGCTTTGGATAAAAGCGTCAGCTAAATGCAATGTAATGTAATATACATCAGCCCGCCCACTCAGGTCACACATGCACAATTTACTGTCTGTCCCACGTACCCACCTTAAGACCCGCGGTGATCGAGCGTTCGAAGCTGTGGCTCCTAAGCTATGGAACGCTCTGCCCGCTCATCTACGGTCTGCGGACTCTATTGACTCCGTTTTAAAGCTAATTTAAAGACATTCCTGTTTGAGCAGGCGTTTGGGTAACCGGTGTGCTTGATTTTATTCTATTTTATACTACGTTTTTATTTTGTTTTCATTGTATTTTATTATGTTGTGGTGCTTTTATGACTTCTTAACACGTGGCTTGTGTGTTCATTTATCATTGTACGATTCCTATGATGATGTTTTATTGTTTTGTCAAGCACTTTGTGACCTTAGGCGCATTCACACCGCAGTACTTTTCCCACAAAGGTTCATGAGAACTTAGTTCATGAGAACTCTTTAGTTCTCATGAACTAAGTACAGATCGTGTTCACACCGGAATAAGTCCCTGGCGGAGGATTAGGCAAATGAAGCCACTAACGTCACTTCTTCTTCTTCTGCTTTGGGTTTACTGGCACGCCGCAAACCACTTCACGGCGAATACTGCCACCCAAAGTCCCCGGCCGGAAGTCCCCGGAGTTGGGGACTGGCTTCCGAGTAAATCGCCAGAACGCCGACACCTCCTCATCTCCACCGCTTCCATGTTTTATTTTGTGTTGCCATAAGTTAGTCTCTCTGCGTTTCTGCGCTGGGCTAATGCTAATGCTAATAATGCTCATGCGAGGATAATAAAATGGCGGCTTCACAAAACGTTTTGGGAGTTTTACGGGGCGTGGTTTGCAATCCGCCCAGCCAATCAGACATAGGAACCTTTTTCTCCCACGAAAGTCCCTGCTCTCTAGCAGGGACGGAAAAGGGGGTGAAAAGGTTCTCATTAACTAATTTTAGTTCCGGCTCTTTTTGGTGTGAACGCAACATTTCGGAACTATATCGGAACTAAAGTGGGAAAAGTACTACGGTGTGAACGCGCCTTTTGTCTGTGAAAAGAGCTTTATAAATAAACTTTACTTACTTACTAGATTGTATCTAAAGTCCTGAGCCTTTTTGTGGCCTATATTTTTCTGCTTTGATGCATTTTTCTCTGCCTAGGGATTGACATTAAGTTTATTGATCACTAGCCATTATGGCTATTGGTTTTTAAAGTCACTAGCCACTCAGCATATTCACTAGCCACAATTTTGTTGATGGGCAATTACTACCTGACCCTGTCTTTGTGTTGAACCTACCCGGTTGGTTAAACATTCTTTTCATCTCGTTTGTCTCCTCTTCCTTTTGGTTTCATCATTGCATGTTATCATTGTGTGTTTTCTGCTATTCAGGTTTTGTCACAGCTGTTTCCTGACAATTAATTGTAGCCTTTGAGTTTTAAATCTGCTCCTTGTTCAAGTTGCTGGTCACGGCCTAACAAGCCAGAAAGCCAAATGGACCAATAGAATGAATGAGCAAACCATGTGCATTAAGTGCTCATGGGTGTTGGATACGATACGATAATATAAGATATACAGTTGAGATTGTCTGCCTTTTTGCATGCAGTGAATTTCTGGATTATGATTTTTCTGGTCATCCAGACACAGTTTATTCCTGCAATGTTCTGAGGTGTCTTGTTAGGTGATGGTGGCTGGTGTCCTCACTTAGTGGATTCTACTAAATCTGTCGTTAGGGTGTGGGTTTTATGGGTTGGAGTTTATTATTATCACTCTGTTATTTCTGCAAAGTGATACCAAGTGCTGAACTTGCCTGCTTGCAGGAAATGACAAGGCCAGGGCTTACATGCAAAACATCTTACCTTGTACGTTCTGCATTCATTTAAATCTCTTCCGTGTGAGTTGGCATACTGAAATGTAAAGATGTGTATTTGCACTTTTTGAACTACACCAAGTGCCCCCCAGCTGGCAGCGGCATAATGGTGTCACCCCCTGTGCAGAGCTGCATGTCTGTGAGATTGAAGACTCCCCTGAGTAGCTTTCGCTGGACCAGACAATTACTGGGGATGTATTTTATGGAATGCCATTTAAGCCAATATTAAATAAATAAATATATACATAAATAATTAAATAAATACATATATATATATAAATATGCCTATGAAATAAATTATAAAATAAATAAATTAGGCAATAAATATGTATACATGTACATTTAAATACACATTTATTTATTTCATGGGACTTTTATTTCATAATGACACATTTATTTATTTCAAGAGACTTGTATTTCATAATGACACATTTATTTATTTCAAGAGACTTGTATTTCATAATGACACATTTATTTATTTCAAGAGACTCGTATTTCATAATGACATATTTATTTATTTCAGATGACTTGTATTTCATAATGACGCGTTTCTTTATTTCAAGAGACTCGTATTTCATAATGGCTTATTTCATGTGACTTGTATTTCATGATGAGACATTTCCATTCCTTATATGCAAATGAACGGAGCGTGGTTAGCTCACAGGTCCAGAGACCCAGACCAAAGCAACAGCACCACACTGACTACTCGAGAAGAGGAAGAAAATGGAGGAGAAGGACTATAAGGCAAACTACTAAATTCTCAGAGTCAGACATCGCATGTAATCTGATACTCTAAATTTCACCCGCCAGAAATGTTCGCTTCTTCTTCTTCGGTGTAAATTGTCCGTTGGCAAACCAGTTGACTTCTTCTTCTCTCGGTTTTTTGGCGGATTGCAAACAACTTTAAGGTGCATACCGCCACCTACTGTACATGAGTGTGAATCATCATATCATTCCATCTCTTAACTCATGGACGTATCTATGATCTAATCCACAAATAAATAAATTAGGGCTGTCAAACGATTACAATTTTTAATCAGATTAATCACAGCTTAAAAATTAATTAATCATGATTAATCACCATTCGAACTATGTCCAAAATATGTCATTTCTTTATGTATATTGTTGTGGGAATGGAAAGATAAATGAAAGAAGGCGGATATATCCATTTAACATGTTTATTGTAAAAAATGTCTGTGTGTCAAAATGAAAGAGAGCACCTATCAATCATCAAACCGTGGGGTCTTAATTCATTACGTATTGATTTCTATCTTACTTAGAAACTTCAGGAAAGTCGACGGGGGGGGGGGGCGCTAGTGGAGTGGAGTACTTCGTGACCACAGAGTGTGAACGTTGTGATCAGCTGTTTTAGCGCAGTTCTCCAGTGAAGGGGGGGAGTCTCCCTCCGCAGCCGGTTGGCGTAATTTTGGCACAATTCCGTTGTACAGACCGACGTTAACAGCAGCCCTGTCTGTGCACACGGAGACCGACTCTGTCGTCCGGTGATCTAACCGCCTTCTGGAAAAGCTTCACAAGTACGTCGGTACGCAAATGTGCTTTGTGACACAAGTGACGGTACGCATTTCAGATTCCGCACATAACCTGCGTACCAGTTATGTGTTACCTGTACTACAGCTAAAGTATTCTCCGTCGGGACTTCCTGCAACAACACCACGCCGTTATCTTGATTCTGATTGGCCAGAAGACATTATCAAAGATGTTCTATTGAGAAGACGATCACTATGTGACAAAAGTTTTCAAAACCGTTTCTGGTCTTCCGTATTTCCAGACAAGTGGCTGCTGAAATCAATCTTACTAACTGCTGTCTGTGCAATTTACTCCGCGCCAGTTGGCGGACTTTATTTTGCTTACTTTAACATCATTTTTCATGGTAGGGCTAAGCCATTTCTTGGTATGGGTGTAGCCTACTCCAGCCATACCCTGTCTTTATAAATATTTGTCTGCTGGCATACCAGCAGACCAGCATTTATCTATCACCAGCTTATGTTAGTATTAAATATACAATGTATTCTGGTAACTATCAAAATAAAGACATTGTATAGTGTTCATAACAGTATTTTTATTTAATAAATTATACTTAATACAATAATATTACAAAAAAAACCTACATCTAAATAAATATATCATCTAAAAAAGATGCATTTGATTTAAAAATAACAAATATAATTCAAAATGTAAACAGCAACAAAGAAATTATAAACATTTTTTTTATTTTTCTTGTTAATATCCATTATCTTCTCTGTTATGTATCTTCCGGTCTTTGCCAATCTGGCCAGCATTTCTTGGTCCTCCACGTCTTTCTCGTGCAGCCACTGCTTGAAGCAAACTGAAAATAAGAAACAACAATGTTTTAAAAAATCTTATTCAATTATGTGATGATAGAACTGCAAACAGAATAGCTGTAACTTTAACAAAATAAATAACTCAGTTACCTCTAATCATTAACCCATGTTTGTATCATTGAGTTAACTCTGTGTGTTGCTGCTAGCATACATAATATATACCTGACGTGGAAATGTTACTCGTGGATGGGGGGGCTACAGAGCTACTAGAAAGACAGTCGAACCCGGTGCATTCCTCCGTCTGAATGTGGAGCACTTTTGCTAAATGTTTAGACAAATAGCTTGTGTTACCGCCCTTACATGCTAAATTCTTATTGCACTATTGGCAACGAGCATTTTCCACCTCAAGACCAAGCCCCCAGGAAGTGTGCCGGACTCTGAGGAAAATATTCGTTGTGTCCAAACGGCCGTACTACAATTTCCTTATCAGTCTGTGACGTCGACCGGCCCAGAAATACTTTTTCCCATTGACTAACATGGGGAAAGAGACGTCTGTAACTCGGTGGATACTTTTTTTGAAACTAAATAAACTACCCAGTATGAACTATTGTATAGCCCTAGAATCATTAAGTTCTTAAAGTTGTAAAATGCACTAAAAGCCGAATCTAGATTTATTCTCTCTCTCCATTCTTTCTAGTGAGCCGAGAGTGTGTGCTTGGGGGGCGGGGCTTAAGGGGCGCATGCTCTGTGAGCGCACAAACGGGTTATTCTGCTCTGACAGCCAGGCATGACGGGTAATCTGTGACGTTTCGCTCTCTCAAAAGTTGGGCCATTTTGACTTCATGCGCCAATGAGCAGCTCTCATAGGAAAGAACGAGGCCCCTCCTCCGATGCTGTATGCAGTTCTTATTAAACATCCATGCTCAAGACGGGTAACATAACTACCCTCGGGGCGCTTAGTTCTCTCCGCCATGTGTTTGTGTGCGCACGTGTGTGTGTGTGTGTGTGTTACATGCATGTAGCAGGTTCTGTGTGTAAACTGCCCCACCCCCTCGCACACCGACAGGGGAGAGAGATCTCTCGTCTGGATTGGAAAGATCGAAAATAAATCATAGACGCACTTTGTAGTCTTATTGCATATTAGAAACGGAGTTGCAGTAAGACTGCAATATAATGTTTATGTAGATATAATACATATGACATCTATTTTTTTAAATGTCTCCCGTAACGATAAAAAGATTGATAACATTGGACGTTAACGGTACCACGGTCTTTAATAATTCAGCCCCGGGGCCCCGTTAATACTGGGGCTCGGTACCCATCCCTAGTTTTAATTATTACATCATCAATATTACATTTCAAATAACCAAGTACGTGGTTACCAACACAAAGCGCAAGTGGCTAGTGCTGCTAAGAACATACCTGGTGATGGTGATGATGGTGGCTCTTCGCTGCAGGATCTGGTCGATGTCCTCCTAGCAGAAGCGATTGCCTTCATCGTTCTCGTCCATGATGGCGGCGTAGGCTCCTTTCCTCAGCAGGTCCTCGATCTCCTTCTTGGAGAACTGCTGGACCGGCTAAAGGCGACGTAGAGAGACATTTACACAAGTGGATTTAGAAAACTCTTTTTGAAAATAAACTAAGCGTACTGCAACAGCGACTGACCCAAAAATGACTTGGCATCTAGAAATGACAGATTTTCTTTTTCTCACCCCGTTGTTGTTCCCACTCATGCTCTGCAGGACGGGACGGTCCAGCCCGAGCTTCAGACTAGCTTTATCCAGCATTTCCCTCTCATAGTTTCTAGTGATCAGACGGTACACCTCTACCGCCTTAGACTGGCCAAAACGATGACACCGAGCTTGAGCCTGAAATACAAAATTAAAAGAGGGGTCAAAAGAGCATCATGTGCAGCTGCTGTTCAACGTTTTTAAGCATTAAATGGGAAAATATACACTTAAAGAACCGAGGGAATAAACGGAAAGACTGTTGTTGTTGTAGCCCTATTGAACTATCTTTAGGACGGACAGAGCAGATATATATATATATATATATATATATATATTGTACCTGCAGGTCATTTTGAGGGTTCCAGTCAGAGTGGAATATCACACAGGTGTCCGCAGCAGTGAGGTTCACAAGCTCTTGATCAGGTGTTTGATGTGGGCTGGCATGATCCTTTCTGCAGCGATGAATAAAGAAAACAAAGAAGACATTATTAATAATAGTAACAACAATAATATTAGTATAACTATTTATATAGCACTTACACAATAATTGCAAAGTGATTCTCACAACAAAAATAAAGAACAAAACAATACAAAAACTAATTATTATAGGAATGTTAAAATACAAATAAATGATAAACATTCTGAGAGGCCGACTACAAAAGGTAGACTCAATGGCTCTTGATGACATCAATGAGCAGTTCCAACACATGCTGCTGTATAAAAATAAATAGGTCCAGATTTCTTCTATTTAGTGTTGGATGATTTGTTGTATTGATTGCTGATGGATGTTAAGATATGTTTTACAATTATAACAAAAAGATTATTGTAATTGGAATCAAAAAGTTTACAAATCGTAGTTTTAATAAAATGACTAGCAATATAGGATTTATTCAACAGCGGTAAAGCATTAAGTTACTAAATTAACGTACACTGAACTGTAAAACTTACCACTATTTAGGAAAGGACCTGATCAGAAGGATTGACTAGTAAGACAGCAAAGAGGCGGAGGAGGTCTCTGTCATGTACAACCATTGGTAGATGTTACACCTGAAAGAAAGATAAGGAAATAAGACAACACAGGAGGACAAACATCTTCTTAAGTAAAAGACCAAATCATGTCAAGCTTTAACCTGAGGCTGTTTTTTCAGTCTTTACAATGCACAGTTGGAAATTACATTCCAAAAGCTAAAATTCAAACTCAACACCATAAATAACTGGGTACCAAAGTGCTTTACCTGATAGGACACGTTCCACACGGAGCAGCAACCATCCGGCTGGGCCGTATGCTGCATATTAGGCTTGTTTGAGACACATTGCGGCTCGCCTCGAAAGTAGACGAGAGTAGCCGATTGCAGCCGGGGGAGGTGTCAAAAAGCTCGTCTTAAGTCGGACAGCTCGGAGTCGGAGTCGGCTTGACTGGCTGGGTTTGCAATGGCGGAAATTGCGTTGGCGTTTTTCGTTGCAGATGAAGTGGATGCAATAGAAATCCCACAATTATTATATCACTACAAATGAATGACTCAAGTGTCAGTTCATTTTGAAACAAATCAGTACAAGGGGGGTTGAATACATGTAAAAGACAGAACCACTTATTACTTTTCAAAACTACTTCCGTCAGTGGTCTTGACAAGTTTGCATTTATAAAGAATGCACAAATGTGTATATTCGTTAATGTCAGATATGTACTAAGTAAATGCATTTGTTCCTGCTCAAGATTAGATTCAACTTTATTGTTATTGCACATATTACAGGTACTGAGACAACGAAATGCAGTTTAGCTTCCAACCAGGAGCAACAAGCAGTAAAGTGAAAAGTAATGTACACAACCTACAGAATAAAAATGAATTGAATGATGAATAAACAGTGAGGGGTATGAATACACTAGATATCAGCCTGTGAGCAGTATGAACAGGGTGTATGAATATGCTAAGATATATAAAGTATGAAAACGGTAAGCAGTATAGTATAAAATATATAGATATTAATTTCATGATGATAAACATTGTGGAACAATGATGAAAAATGGGAATGGATGTGGCGACGTAAAACTGACACAAAACAACAACAACCTTTTGCCGAGCCAATTGGAGAGTTTCATCACCAGCACGTGGTAAAAACCACCAATGAGCGCTCAGCTCGAGATACCAGCGAGTCGTTTCCCATCAAGCATTTCGCTTCCGCAGCCCGTGGAGAGCAACTGCGCCAACTCGCCTCGCCTCGCTCTCAAGGCTGCGGGCGTCTTTGTCCCGCGAGATTTCAAAGTCTCATGTAGGCGGGCCTCCAGAGCAAGTCGGACAAAATGACTAACCATCATGCAACGCACTAGCAAGACGTTGATCGCAACTGCGCAGGTCTGCGCAGGTCTTGCTTGTCTCAAACAAGCCTATTATCTCCTCCCTCTCCACTGTTTCCAGTAGATCTCTACTGCCTGTCCAATAAAACTGAAATGCCCCAAAACAATCATATTTCAAAAGTTAAAAACAATAACTTGCTTTTGGCATTCAAATGTATTATAATCTCACCTTTTTCCTGGATGTCAGGAAGGCGTTCCCTTCAAGTCCGCAACCAGTCATAGGAGTTCAAATGCAAAGCCTGAAAGATGACAAGAGCGGGAGACTTACATGTTACAAGATAAGTAATACCAGAGCAGTGTTTAGGACAGGGGTGCCCACACTTTTTGGGCTGGTGAGCTACTTTTGAAATGACCAGCTCACCGAGGTCTACCAACCAAAAATAAAATCCCAAATTGCAAGGGTTGCTGAATAACACGTTTTATTTATACATGGGATAATAGGGCTGCAACAAACGACTAATTTGATAATCGATTAATCTATCGATTAATGAAACGACTAATCGACTATTCGGACTATTACTGTATGCCTTGCACAATTTCTCAAACGTTCTTATTTAGCCATCAACTTTTAGATTTAGCTTGAGGTTGTTTTAGGCATGTGGAAACTAACAATGAAGACAATAAAGATTAATACTTGATTCAAAAATACATATATTATTAAATTAACAAATTGTTTACAAAATTAACATTGCTTTTTATTTAAATAAAATAAATAATATTTCGCATCAAAAGAAACAACAATGTTTTAACAAATCATATTAAATAAACTGATGACAGAACTGTAAACAGAATAGCTGAAACTTTAACAAAATAAAGAGTAACTCAGTTACCTCTAATCATTAACCCATGTTTGTATCATTGAGTTAACTGCGTGTGTTGCTGCTAGCATACATAACACCTGACGTGGAAATGTTACTCGTGGATAGGGGGGCTACAGAGCTACTAGAAAGACAGTCGAGCCCGGTGCATTCCTCCGTCTGAATGTGGAGCACTTTTGATAAATGTTTAGATAAATTGCTCGTGTTACCGCCCTTACATGCTAAACTAGGGCTGTGCGATTATGGCAAAAATCATAATCACGATTATTTGGTCAATAATTGATATCACGATTATTTTGACGATTATTCATTGACCATTTATTGAACTTTAAAACAAATAATATTTTACCAATAAACAAGATCAATAAATGTGTTGGAGCGCACTTCCAAAACCATACTAAACATATATTATTAATATGATAAATAAAAATAAATTAGACCAAAAATAAATGAAATCAAATATGATGCAGTGCACTGTCACAACCTACTGAAAACTCCTTAACATATAGCCAACATTTTGGTAAAACATATTCAACATATTCAACAGGCTGGCCAACCGTCATGGTCCAGAAGTAACAGGAAATAAATGTTGAACTACAATTTAAGACCAAATAAAAATGTTTAGGCCACCATGGTCACACCATGCTGGTAGGGCTGCTCATGTCATCTCTTAAAGATTTTTTGCAAGAAATACCAGCCTGTTGACATGGTCTGGTTTCAGAGATGAGCGCAGGCAGGTGACGATATTGCCACCTGTACTGAAGACCCTCTCTGAAGAGGAACTTGTGGCAGTGCTGCCACATATGACACAGGAAAAAAAGAAAAGACTCTGAAGAACCCTTTCTTTGCCATTATATAAAAATAGTGTTGCTACAAAAGTATAAATTAGGCTTACTAATAAGACAACTCAGATCTGAAGCTACACAGTAATCTGCTGCAGCAACAGTGCAATAAAAAAGACAACATTAATAGAATCAAACCCATTTTTTGTTGCATTTTATTAGAGTATAAAAATAAATGCCTTTAAAATAGGATGCAAGCAACACTAGTTTCTGAACTGATAGACTATAATCAATTTAAACAGAACAGATCTTAATGTTTGCATTCTTATACCATTTTGTACAATAATTATCATGAATAAATTCAAACAAACTAAAACTCAGCTGATTAATAACGGTATCTAAATTGAGTTTTTATTATATCAAAAACCTGTTGAAATGCTGCTGTTATTTTTACTGTCCCACAAAAGCGCGTCGCAGCCTCCAGGAATGCTTCTTTCACAACTTCGCCGTCTTCGAAAGACTTCATGTGTTTCGCAAGAACGTGACTGACACGATAAGATGCTCTGGTAGCAGCCTTGCTCTTGTTGTTGGGCCTGGTGGAAATGGACTGCTGTGCATTTAGCTGTCCTTTCAGGCCCCTCCCCTTTTGGAGCGTAGGGCAGAATTAGGAGGGAATTCCGTCTCGTAGCGTTTGTGCACTGTTTTGAAATGCCGCTCCTAAATTACCCTTCTTCGATAAAGCCACGCTCGCATTGCAGATCAGACAGATGGACTTTGAATTGGAATAGATACAAAAATAATGATCCTCCCACTCGGAGTGAAAATTATATATTTTGGGCTTTTTTGCTTCTGCCATAATTGCGGTCTTGTGTGTGTGCGGACTGTCACTCCTGTTGACCATCCATGCTGTTGACACGGACAATGTCAGCGAACTAGTGCACTGCTCACCAGCCACGCCCGGACACATGGGGTGAGGCCGGCCAATCACAAAGCTTTGATGCGTTCAAGTGCATTATTCTGGCACGGGAACATTATGTTACAGGCAGTGCTGGAATTGGGCCGGTACTCACCGGTACGCAGTACCGGCACTTCTGGTTCTGACCCATGGAGTACCGGCACTTCTTGCTCAGTACCGGCATGCTGGCGGTACTCCGGTACTCATGCACCGTGCCAGTACTCAACACTCTCCCGCCGTTCTTATTATACATCCATATATATATATACAGCCGCCCGGTACTCAGTAGATGCGTCATGAGGTGCCGAACGGACATTCTCATCGCTCTAACCGCTGGAGTTTCACAGCGGCTGTCAGCTGTTTACTCCTGTCATTCAAACAGAACGTGCTGGAGAGGGGGGCGGGGCTTATCTTCTCCATGTAAATACTGTGGTGGAAACGACTATGTCAAAATTAACCTATTTGACCGTGATTTAATAGTAATACACGTTTCAAAATAATAATAATAATAATAATAATAATAATGCCGAAGTAACAACATACTGAAAACTGTTAGTAAAACCATGTTTTAATGCTTTACAATTTACATACCTAGATGCACGTGTGTTGTGTTTATGCAGTGCAACTCCCACCCAGTGGGTGGCTATGTAGAGTGATAGAACAGAGCAGGCACGCCCCCGAGAGAAGGAAAGCAAGTCACGTCACAAATTAGCATTTCTAAAATGTTAGCGTGGATTAATAAAAGTGCAAAAAGACAGCGGTTGTCGCCGGAAGAAACTTCAAATACAGAGAATGCTGTGCCTGTGTTGGAAATTGTGTCTGATGGGGAGCTTTCTTTGGTTGATCCTCCTGCTCCAAGTTCTAGTGCATTAGCATTAGCACTAGCTCCGCCGCCTCCTCCAGAGCCTCTAACGTTAGCTGCTGCTGGCGCAACTGCCACCACCAACACCGGGCAAAGCGATGCACCTGACTGCTGGACAACGGACCAGGTGCAATATTTTTGCAAGACCAATGCATGGCTCCTTCTTAAAGATAAGAAGCTAGGATGTCGGATATGCAGAGATGTCAAATCTTTGGGAATACACACTGGACAAGGACTGAAACTGTCAACTGAATGGGGTGAGTGTGCAGTGTCTCATTTCGGTGTTGACAAGGGCAAACAACAAGCTAGCCTGAGAAAAAAAATCAAAGAACATAAAGAATCACAAGCCCATGTAAAAGCTGCTGACATCCTTACATCTGCTTCACGTGAAACTATTCAACATCAAGTGCAGTCTATGCATAAATCTGAATTAGACACCACTATCAGAGTTTTTCGAACGGCATATAAAATTGGCAAACATAGCCGGCCATTCACAGACATGCCAATTGATTTGAATGTACAG